TCATCATCACTTAAAATCAACCACTGTTAGGAAAATTTTTTTTTGTCTCTCTTTCTTAAGTTCCTCTTAATCTAAAGGCATTTTATTTTGTCTCAGGATATAGAGGTCAATTGAATATAGCAGATTTTATCAGTGTTGTAAAAATCTGGAGAGGAATGTAAATGGCTCATCTTGTGTCTGGCCTCTGACTGAATCAGTCAGCTATGGTGGGGTTAGGGGACAGATCCATGTGTTTACTTGCATGGGACAAAAATTAGTCATTTGTGAGTGTTCACATACTTCCACCTGCCCCAACCCACCACAGAGAATTGTAATTTGACAGTACGGTAATCCCTTCCCCTACTCTTAAAAAAGTTGATCTTACAAGGTCAGTCCTATATTTTTATGAAGAAGAATTAGAGAATGAGTAGAAAGGAACTGGTCATGAAAAGCAGAAGATTTAGGTTGATATACATAACAAAGTGCTGGGAATCAGAGGAAGAGGGAGAGATCGTGAAATTCCTGGGCTGGGAATAAAGAGTGTGTAGGTAGGATGGCCTTTGGTGAAGGAGACACTTTGGAGAGCATGGTGTGTGAAAACATTTAAAGGAAAATTAAAGGGAATTAAGGGGAAATTAAAAGGAAGGAGTATATGAGAAGATGCTTTGTGATTATAAACTGAATTTTCTTTAATGTATTTTGAAAGACCCCGGTAAAGAAGGGAATTTCTTTTAATTTTTCAGGGAATGAGGAGTTGTCCAATTAGGTGTTGAATTGTTTTTCCTTGGAACTCTCAAGAGAGAACTTGTGTTTAGAGAGAGATTTGGGAGCTGTAAGCGAGTAGATGTGTTTATGAGTCAGAGTGCTGAGGGCAAGAATATAAAGAAGAGACGAAGGCCAAGAAGAAACTTGGAGAGCACAAAATAGAAAAGCTCAGAAAGAAGGGGTACCAGGAAAAGGGACTAAGATAGTCATCATATGGTAGGATAGTAGGAGGCCATGCACGATGACTGACACCTGTAATCCCAGCACTTGGGAGGCCAAGGTGGGTTAGAGATCAGCATGGACAACATAAGGAGATCTCGCCTCTACAAAAAATGAAAAATTAGCTGGGTGTGGTGGTGCACACATGTAGTCCCAGCTACTTGGAAGGCTGAGCTGAGAGCATCACTTGAGCCTGGGTGGTTGAGGCTACAGTAAACCATGATCACACCACTGTACTCCAGCCTGGGTGACAGAGCAAGACCCTGTCTCAACAAAAAAAAAAAAAAAAAAAAAAAAGGAGAAACTGATCTCAAGGAGTGAAGAGAAGAGACAGATTCAATAGTAGAGGATGGGCAAAATATCAAATGCTGCAGAGGCAGAAACTGTGATGTGCTGGAGCCACGTTGTTAAATTTTCAGAATTTTATTGAGCCAATTGTTACGCATGCTATTATTAACGCTTAAATTGAATACAGTTAAACAAATTATATTAAAAATAAAAGTAATAAGTACACAAAGCACACCACTTCCTAATTATTTTACATTGCTGAGATGATTCATGTTCATGGTATCTGAGTAGTGGAAATACGCTGTAATATTTGTGCTGCTTTTAAATCAGTCATGGTGGGATTATTTACACCACAAAAATTGGCAAACACTACCAATCAGGGCATTTTTCTCTGCAAGGAGAGCCAGTTAAATATTTACCAGCATGCCACTGGAAAAATAGAATTGAAGTCAAGAAAAGTCTAATGGATTTAGCAGGAAGGAGATGACATGTACTTAAGTTTCAGTAGAAAGGTAGGTGACAAAAACCACAGTAAAGTGAGTTGAGGAGTGAAATAATAAGAAATTAAAAACGTGTTCAAGTAAGTTTGAGAACCATTGAATTAAACTGAGAAGCAGATTGTTACTGTTGATGGTGGTTTTGTTTTTTAAATTACAAGGTTTACAGAGTACATACTATGTTAATGTACTTTATTAATCTCAAAAAATGAAGACCATATGCAAATTTATTTTATGGTAGAACCTTTTCTGTTGGAAAATCTTAGGGAACAAGTTATCTATAGAATACATTTTGGGAAATGCTGCTCCAGTATTTCACAATTAAGATGATACTGACTATAAAGTTTGAGATTAATATTCTTGTTCTTAAAGTTTCATAATTTTTAAAAGAAGTTTTGTCAAGAATGGATGTTGAATTTTACTGAGTACTGTTTCTGTCATTTTTGTAGTAATCATACGGTTTTTTGACCTAGTGCTGTGACACATTTTAATAGATTTTCAAATATTAAATCTTCTTTGCCTTTCTGAGATAAATCTAACTTGATTACAGGGGCTCATTATTTTAAGAGAGGATTTAATTTGTTAATTGGCATTTTATTTATTATTTAAAATCAATATTGATAAGTGGGACTGATGTTTTTCTCTGTTGTCAGGTTTTAATATCAGTGTTATGATACTCCAGAAAAATTAATTATGTCACTATATTTTTTCCTACTTAGAAACAGCTTATGTAGGAAAATTATCTCTTCCTTTAAAGCTTTAAAAAATCACCTATAAAACTAATAGCTTTTGGGGGAAGTAATTCTTTGGTAAGTTTTCAATTCTTTCCATTGTTAAATATTTTTCTATAACTTAAGTCAACTTCACCATTTATTTCATTTCTGACAAGTTAGTCTGAGTAAACTACCCTTGGCCTGCCTTATTATTTACTTAGGTTCTGGTAAAAATCCCATTCCAGATGTAAAACCATTGTGTGAGTAGAGATGAGCAGCCCCTATCTAACGTGGGCTGTGTTGAAGTGTGAGGCAATTGTCTGCTGTCTTCACAGCCCAGTTCTCTGGCTTCTAGAGATGATGGGTAGGGCGTTTATAATCAAATGAATATAAACCAGTCTTGAGTTAATTGACCAGATGGCAGAGGTGAAAGAACTGCGGTCCTTGGTGTCTACTCCCCCGCAGAATGATCTTGTCTCTGCCCTACTGTGTTTCACGTCTGGAGACGATTCCTTCTAAGATACAGCGCAATTCTGAATGGGTTCAGAAGGAGGAGGACTAGTAGCAGGAGGGGGCCTGGGGAAAGGTTACCTAAATCTGTCTGACTCTGACAGTAGTGAGAACCAGCCAAGTTTTCTGTTTGAGTCAACACTTGGAGCTACACACTAGGAATAGATACCAGTTTCTAGAAATCTTTACTTTTTGTCCATCTACTTCTGAAGAAATATGTATGTATTTCAAAGGAAAATTGGCACAAGTATCAAGGAAAGCTGGTACAACTTAATCTTAACCTGGAATCGACATTCTTTAATTTTTACATACAGATTTTGTTCAGTTTTTTAGATTAAAATTCTTTCCTTTTGTTTTCACATGTTTGAACCCTTTTTAATAGTTGCCTTAAATGTAAAAAAAAAAAAAAGAATGCAAAAAACAAAAAACCCCCAAGTGGTAATCTGTCGTAGATAAAGTTGTTTCTCATCTCTCATGTGTTCTGCGTGTTGTGTGTAATGAGCGGTTTCGCTGTGGGTACTCCTTTCATTTCTGGCTAACAAATTAGAGTGTGTTTATGTAAATTGCCATGATACCGGTCAGCAGTCACAGCCAGAAAACATAAAACATGCGGGCATAACACACTGACACATAAGCTCTTTCTAAAGAAGAACGTGTCCCATTCTGGAAAGAAAATTGTTGCTTTATTTTTGATATTGAGTCTGTATCAAAAAGTTTTCTTTTTTATTTTTGAGACAGGGTCTCATTCTGTTGCCCAGTCTGCAGTGCAATGGTGTGATCATAGCTCACTGCAGCCTTGAACTCCGGGACTCAAGAGTTCCTCCTGCCTCAGCCTCTTGAGTAGCTGGGACTACAGGCACACGCCACCATGCCCAGCTAATGTTTCTATATTTTGTAGAGACAGGATTTCGCTGTAGTGCTCAGGCTGGTCTCGAACTCCTGGGCTCAAGGAATCCACATGCCTCAGCCTTCTAAAGTGAAAAGATTTTCTTTCATTTTTCAAATAGAAGTACTAAACAATGCCAGAGAAATAAGCAAACAGGCAAAATACATTGGCTATGATTTATATTATTTCCTGCTAGAGTTAACAAAATGGGAAAAATTTTATCTTAATAGTCTACTACGTTTATGCCAAGTGTTAAGTAATAAAATAGCTTTTGTAAATAATAAATTAAAATTATATAAATTTAAAGTTTCAGATTATAAAAATATAAATTAAAAGGTACAGATTTAAAAAAGAAAACATTGTAGAGTTTCATGTAGGTTAGACTGCGTAGAATGTCAGGTCTCAACGTTGGCGCTATTCAAGCCCTGATGATAAGGCTTTTGGCATTAGATGCTGTTTTGTCTTGATGGAAAATACAGCAATTCTAGGATCCTTGAGCCTTTCTTAAGAGATAAGGTTGTGAATCCTAAGACCCTAGGACCATTTACTTAGATGATCTGCTCTCTGGTTCATCCTCTGAAAAGTCTGCTTTGCAAGGGGTGTGCTGCATTTGCCTTGCCTAAGTGGTTGTGGCACAAGACTGTATTGTCACCTTAGGCTTACTAACCATGTGTCATCTAGAATGAAGTTATATTTTATTAAGGATCATTTTTGCAATGTATAACTTATCAAACATTAACTTTCAAGGTTATTAATCCCTTTAAGGTCTAGTTTTTCTTAAGTCTGCGCAGTAATAGAGGTATCATCATTCATGTGACATAAAAGATGGAAAGGGGCTTCATTCATGTTAGTGATGGAAATAGGAAAGTAGGTGAAGTGAATCTAATATATGTTTCTTTTATGAAATAATTTTAAAAAGATTTTCCTGCCCTGTATGATTTATGATGAATCATTTTGTGGTCTGTTACTTCTAGAGAATATGAAGCATTATAGGCCCAGGGAAAGCAAACATTCAGATTGAAATCTAGTAGAGAAGGTAAATTTATTTGGGCATGTGCGTTTTGGCAGCCTAGGCTGTGTACATGTGTACACATTTTGAACATGTGTTTATATTGAAAATCTTGTTTCTTTTTAATTGTTCAGATTTGAAAGAAGCCAACACTAAACCACAAATATAGAGGAAGAAGGCCTTTTTCTCAAACAAGAGTCAGTCTTTAACAGTAAGTAAAATCAGAATTTATACTGCATTTGTATTGAAAAGTATCCCTTTTAAAGAATATGCAAATTATACATAGTATTTTATTGTAAAATTTCCTAGAGAGTAATTTTTGACTGTTATACTTTCTGCTATATAATTTTCCAGTCAGTTGGACTATGCAGTGTAACATATTTGTCTAACACAAAACAAAGGTAGGATAGGAAAATGACCTAGAAGTTGAGAAATAACTCAAATCCTTAAAAATAAATCTCTAATTAAAGTCTTTTACGTTCATCTTATTTTTCTACTTAAGTAATAATCACGTGATTTTAGAGTCTTATGATACTTTTAATTAAATTGAGATAAAAATTAAGATTTCTTGCCTGGTTCCCTATTGGCCATGCAGTCATAATCTGTGGTCACAAAGGAGAAAGTAGCTTCGTATTAGCCAGATGTGCTCCATTCTAGGAGGAAGAATTGCTAAGTTATAGTTGGTACCCGGCGTTAAAACTACTTCCTTCCTGGAACTCACTAGATTGGGATAGGATTTCAGAGGCTCCAGGGGCTCCCAAAGTTTTAGGATATCCACCATGGATAATTTATCTTTCTGAGGCCTAACTATAGGGTTCTAAGGCAATTCTTAGTCCCCAACTTTTTTGGGAAGGAAAAGGAGACATACCACTTCAAGGTTTTATGTAGTTTTAGGGCTATTGATTTTGGTAAATCATGAGCTATCACAGAATAGCTCATTTTCCTGAAATCTGCAATTAAATGAAATCCACAACGAGCAATATTGAATAAAGAATCATCAGATAGATACAGAAATTAATATAGAGATGTGTATATACGTGGGTTACTATACATACATATGTTTGCTAACTCTGTCTGCTAAGAGAACCTAGAGCAGTGACTCCCCAGTAGCAAACCAGATCGTGGTTTCCAAATACAGGCTGAGCATCCCAAATCTGAAATCTGAAATTCAAAATGCTTCCAGATTCCAAACTTTTTGGGCATATAGGTGATGCTCAAAGAAAACAATCCTTGGAGTATTTTGGATTTTGGATTTTTGGATTTGGGATGCTCAACAAGTAAGTGTTAAGCAAATACTCCAAAATCCAAAAAATTTCAAAATCCGAGATATTTCTGGTCCCAAACATTTTGGATAAGAGATACTCAATCTATACCATTTTCCTTAAAGGAAACCAGAGCTCTTTGGAGAAGTGGTTAATTCTAAGCCTGGGGCAGGGAAAATACAAGCTGAGCCTGGAGGATATTGTGGAGCCAGAAAGTAAGGATGTGCTCAGAAGAGTCAACCTGAAGGAGCTCCCAGTGGCCAAAGCTGGAACAATTTCATCAATAAAATAACTACGTATAATATCAAATTATAATCTTATAGATAAAATATATACACATGAGTCCAGATTGATATAAATAAATAACCGAATAAGTAAATAAATGGGGGGAGAAGAACTCTTCCTTGTAGAAAACTTTAATTAATGTAAAAGGAATGGAGGAAATAGAAAATTGTTGTCACAAAGTCACAGCAATAATTGCTGCATGCAACTTCCACTGATAAATACTAAAATTAGTGAGTGGGCCAGCCATGGTAGCTCACGCCTGTAATCCCAGCACTTTGGGATGCTGAGGTGGGTGGATCACTTGAGGTCAGGACTTTGAGACCAGACTGGTCAACATGGTGAAACCCCATCTCTACTAAAAATACAAAAATTAACTGGGTGTGATGGCGGGTGCCCATAATCCCAGCTACTTGGGAGGCTGAGGCATGAGAATCACTTGAACTCAAGAGGTGGAGGTTGCAGTGAGCCGAGATCGCACCACTGCGTTCCAGTCTGGGCGACAGAGCAAGACTCCCTCTCAAAAAATAAATTAATTAAATAAAATAAAATAATTGAGTGAAAGTTTAAGGTGAAACAGATATTTGCATAACCTCAAAGTATCTTCCCCCACTTATTAATTACAAAAGGAAAAATAGTAACTTTACAGTGGACAATCCTGATAGACACCACCTTAACCACATGATCAAGGTTAGTAGCAAGGATAAGAAGACATAGTGAGCACATGTGCCCCTGATAGAATGTCCTGAAAGGGACACATCATGCCTTTCGTATTCTTTCCAAACATCCTTAATCTCATTTGACTATGAGAAAGCTTTAACCTAAATACAGACACATTCTTCAAAGTATCTGACCGTCTCCGTTCAACAGTGTCAGAGGCATAAAAGACACATCTTTACTAAGGAACCACCACAGATCTGGAGGAGAATATTACCTAACAACTAAATGCAATGTGGGATCCTGGATTGGATCCTGGAGCTGAAAAAGGACATTAGTAGGAAAACTAGTGAAATCTAAATAGTTATAGTATTGTGCCATTCTCAATTTATTAGGTCTTTTTTTTTTTGCTTTTATTATTATTTTTGATTAACACGTAATTGTACATATTTATGTGGTACAGTGTGATATTTCAATACATGCGTAATGTATAATGATCAAATCAGGGTAAGTAGCATATCTATCACCTCAAACATTTATAATTTTTTTGTGTTGGGAGCATTCAAAATCTGCTCTTCTAGCTACTGGAAAATTTACAATAGGTTGTTATTAATTATATTCACCCCACGGTGCTGTAGAACATTAGAACAGTTCCTTGTATCTAACTGTAATTTTGTATCTGGTAACCAATCTCTGGCTATCCCTAGCCCTTCCCAGCCTCTAGTAGCAACTATTCTACTATCTACTTCTATGAGATCAACTTTTTAAACTTCCACATATGAGTGAGAGCATGTGGTATCTGTCTGGCTTACTTCACTTAACCTAATAACCACCAGGCTCATCCATGTTGTCATAAATGACAGGATTTCATTCTGTTTTATGGCTGAATGGTATTCCATTGTGTATGTGAACCACATTTTCTTTATCCATTCATCTGTTGCTGGAACTCAGGTGGATGCTGTATCTTGGCTTCAGTGTATCAACATTGATAATTGTACTGGGACTGCACTGTAGTAGCTGGGGGGGAAGCTGGCTAAAGGGTATGTAGGAACTCCCTCCACTATCTTCGCAACCTTTCCGTAAGCCTCAGATTATTTCAAGTTAAGAAGTTTTTTACAGGTCACAGTGTAGTCACTAAATAATCATTCTCATTAGATTTTTGCTAATTTGTAGGGTTAAGATTCTGCATTTGCAAATCTTAGAACAGTGTAAGGCAGAGGCATTCTTTTCATCAAGACTGTTTCTTGAGCTGTTTTCTAATCCTTCTCATACACACTCCCATCTCTGCCTCCACTAGTCTGGTCTCTATTTAGTATACTTAATACTTTAGCCAGTTGCTTCCAGTTGCAGCTGTCTAGAAACCTGTGAGTGGGAATAACTCCACAAAGCTCTGCCTCCTCCGGAACCACATCTTAGCAGTGTTTTTTGTTGGTGACAGTGAGGGTCTGATTTGAAAGTTCACACCAGAACTGTCAAAGTATTTCGTGAAATACTTTGAAAAAAATCTCTTGATCCACCCAATCATCATTACCCAAGACTGGATTTGAACAAGAATTTAGAACTCGTTGTCTTATATTTATTTGAATGCGGAGAGGAGAGAAGAAGACCATATTGTTTCTATGCAAAATGTCTGGGAATTCAGTGAATACAAGTGGTCCTAAGGGAACTTTCATTCTTAAAGGAAATCAGTGACAGCGTTCAATTGTCTAGAAAATCAATTTAATTTTAGAAAAGCATAAAGCCTTTTAAAATCAAAAGAGCAGGGCCGGGTGCGGTGGCTCATGCCTATAATCCCAGCACTTTGGGAGGCCAAGGCGGGCTGATTACCTGAGGTTGGGAGTTTGAGACCAGCCTGACCAACATGGAGAAACCCCGTCTCTACTAAAAATACAAAATTAGCTGGGCGTGGTGGCACATGCCTGTAATCCCAGCTACTCGGGAGGCAGAGGCAGGAGAATCGCTTGAACCTGAGAGGCGGAGATTGCAGTGAGCCGAGATCGTGCCATTGCGCTCCAGCGTGGGCAATAAGAGCGAAACTTTATCTCAGAAAAAAAAAAAAAAAAAAAAAGACTGCTCTTTTGAGACGGAGTCTCGCTTTGTCACCCAGGCTAGAGTGCAGTGGCCGGATCTCAGCTCACTGCAAGCTCTGCCTCCCGGGTTCACGCCATTCTCCTGCCTCAGCCTCCCGCGTAGCTGAGACTACAGACGCCCGCCACCTTGCCCGGCTAGTTTTTTGTGTGTGTGTTTTAGTAGAGACGGCGTTTCACCGTGTTAGCCAGGATGGTCTCGATCTCCTGACCTCATGATCCGCCCGTCTCGGCCTCCCAAAGTGCTGGGATTACAGGCTTGAGCCACCGCGCCCGGCCTAGCAGACTCTTAAAAGACAAAGTTAGGAGCAGGTATGTACTTTGGCATCTGAAAATAAGTGGTCTAAATTCAAGCATTTTGGCATGAAAAATGAAATGTGAAGTATTTGGAATTCAAACCTGAATTTTTTTGCCGGTAACTCTTGTGTATGTTCAACTAATTTAGCAAACTACACTAGTTCACATTTTTTAGGTGAAATAAGAAATAACAGAAGTTGCACCTAAAGTAGTCAAATTTCATAGAGCTAGAAAGTAGAATGGTGCTTAACAGGGGCTGGGGCATGGGAAGGGAATGGGGAGTTAGTGTTTAATGGGGACAGTTTCAGTTTTGCAAGATGAAAACATCCTGGAGAATGGTTACACAACATTGTGAATGTACTTAATGCCATTGAATACACACTTAAAATGGTTAAAATGGTAAATTTTATATTGTGTATATTTTATTACAGTTTTAAAAACTGAAAAAGAAGTAACAAGTCTTCAGCAGTTATATCCACTTCTTTGCCAGGGTGTCTGGCTCTAAGGAGAATCTCTGCTTAGAGGACCATTAATCCTTAGGACCCTTTTTTTTAAAAAAAATCTAAAGATGGTTCCTGGACATCATTTACCAACTGGCAGTTTAAATGGCTTGTATACCATAAATT